CTCCTTTGACACACCCTTATGAGAGAAAAAAAAAAAACATAGAATCTGAAAACAATGAGACCAACCCAGAGTACAGTGAAAAGACATTTCAAACAAGGAGCTCAGTTCAGTGCTCTGGGACCTCGGGAGGTGGGCGGAGAGGGAGGCTCCAGAGAGAGGGGATATAGGTACACTTACTGCTGATTCACACTGTTGTACCGCAGAAGCTAACACAACACTGTAAAGCAATTATCTTCCAATTAAACTTTTAAAAAATAGCAGCCATGTGGCTAGACCGAGACATTAGAATGTGTTAAGAAGTGGATCACACAGAGTCGGACATGAGCGACTGAGCACACCCATAGGTGCAACAGAGAAGCAGAAGCCAAAGCAATAAGACAGAAGCTTTCCCAAGATCAGAGTTGTCTGAAGACCAAAAGGGCAGCCTAGGAAGAGCTACACTGATGAACACAGAAGCAACTGGGTGACAAAAGGAACTACATTTAAAAAAAAACATTCAACCCTGAGACTTTAATCAATGTAATGTTTCTTTTTTTAGTGTCTATGTATTTGGCTGTGCCGGGTCTTTAGTTGCAGTACATGGGATATGAACTCCTGCAGTATGTGGGATCTAGTTCCCTGACCTGGGATGGAACTCAGACCCCCAAAGTCTTGGGCACTTGACCACCAGGGAAGTGCCTCAATGAGATATTACACATTGAGAGGATGTTGCCTCCAAAGTTTATGCTGGGAAAGTAGTCAGGGGATGTTTCTGATCCAATATTTGACCCACTATGGACAGTGGATATGGCCCAAGCTGCCACATAGGGTCAGACAAAACAGAAAAGGACTGAGTTAGCCTAGTGAGTCTTTCAGGGCCCTCAGATCAACCTGGTGCCAAGGCCCAAATAGAGTTAACCATCTAGAGAAGGATGCTTTTACTCCGGCTTCTTTATGGATTGTAAGCCTGTCACATTTCACTCGTTTCATGAGCACCATCTACAAGCCACACTAAAAATTAATCAGCGAAACAGGATGGTCACTGTGATTACAGGACACAGAATCTAGAATCGGGAATGTAATGTTCACCACAGAACTGTCTGGTGAAGCCACAGAGACAGGAGGGCCTAACCATGAGAGGATGATGAATCAAATTTTCCTGAGCCACTCTTGCGTGGTGAGCCCACAGGAAGAGAGGACTGTGATGCAAGGCCCCATCACAGTCAGCACAACCCTAGTCCACGTGATCAAACTGTACAATCAGGGGTGGAGGCCAAGCTGATACATCAATCAGAAATAAAGCAGCTGCAACCTCCCCGGCAGTCCAGTGATTAGTACTCGGCACTCTCAATTGCCAGGGCCCAGGGTTCGATCTCTGGTCGGAGAACCAAGGGATCATCATTATTAGGTTCTGCTCTAAACTGAATCCCACTGTGAATTCCACAACTGTACTATATGGTGATAACACAAAGGAAAGCTGGTCTCAAATTTAAGGAAAATTTTTCCAGAGAAATTTAGAATACACTCCCACATATTAAACAGAAAAGACAACTTCATCAACTGACAAACAAATATCTTCTTACTAGAAGTATAAAACTACTTTCTAACTCAATAGAGTACTCACGGTTATTTCAGTGCTCAAATCACTTTACTATTTTGTGCACCAGGGCTAACACCATCAAAAACATCTTGCATCATTTTAGATTTCACCTTAAGGATCTAGATCTTTATACAGATACATATATATAAAATCTTGCCTAGTCCCCCTCTCTTTGAGAGAGATAAGCTTCATCTAAATTATTTCATCTGATTGATGATTATCATTTATAACTTTATTGCTACTTCTACCTTGGGTATTCCTTTGGAAAAGGTATATGGATTCATTACATATTCTAATGTATTATCTATAGATTATAAGATAAAGTCAAGCATTTTATCTGCTGATACTTTTTAAGTTGACCTGTCTTAATACTTAGAAATGTCTCTTAATAGTAGGCTTCCTTGGTGGCTCAGATGATAAAGAATCTGCCTGTAATGCAGGAGACCCAGGTTCAATCCCTGGGCCGGGATGATCCCCCTGGAGAAGGAAAATGGCAACCCACTCCAATATTCTTGCCTGGAGAATTCCATGGACAAAGGAGCCTGGCAGGCTACATTCCATGGGGTTGCAAAGAGTCGAACATAACTGAGAGATTATCCCTCAGTCACATGTACAATTTTATTTGTTTTTGGCTGTGCTGGGTCTTCACTGCTGTGCAGGCTTTCTTAGTTATGGTGAGCGAGGACTACTCTCTAGCTGCAGTGCACAGGCTTCTCATTGCAGTGGCTTCTCTTGTTCTCTGTTCTCTAGGTGCACAGGCTTCAGTAGTTGTGGTGCAGGGGTTTAGCTGCTTCACAGCATGTGGGATCTTCCCAAACCTGGGATCAAACCCAAGCAGATTGTATCCCCCAAGCAGATTGTTAACCACTGGACCACCAGGGAGGTCCCAGGAGTCTAGATCTTTAGAGCTGTGATTCTCAAATTCAGTGTGCATGTGTCAGACCTCTAGGAGAGCTGGTTAAAACCCTCATTGCTGGACCTCAGCCTCAGCTTCTAACTCAGTAGCTATGACTGGGAGGGAGGAGGGGGTCTGAGAATTTGCACTGCTAACAATTTGCACTGATGTCAGGGCTGCTGATATGGGAATCACATATGAGAAACACTGCCTTGGGCATCATTTTCTAGCTCAGAGAATCCAGTGCACCCAATCCAGCCTGTCATTTCTTTGTAAAAATAGTCTTATGGTGACGCAGCCCCATTCATTTGTTTTCTTGTGGTCTGTGGCTGCTTTCTTGGTACAACTGCAGGATCAAGTAGTTGCAACAGACTCTAAAGCCTTCAAAGCCTTTTTTGGTCTTTTACAGAAAATTTACTATTCAGTGCTTTAAGAAAAAAAAAAAAGGTCTGGTCTAATGCATCATCATCTAACCCTAGACAACCACCACATCATGTACTGGACCGGACAGAGGACAATCGTATCAGGATGTTGCCGTGACTGGGGCTTATTTCACTAAAGATGCAATGTGATAAAATTTTATAATAATCTCGACTTTGTGTGGGTCATTTACAACTCCATATAAACTAAAGAAAGGGCGTTCCCAGGTGGCTCAGTGGTAAAGAATCCACCTGCCAATACAGAAGACACAAGGGACCCAGGTTTGAAGCCTGGGTTGGGAAGATCCCTTGGAGGAGGGATTCTTGCCTGGGAAATCCCACCCACTTGCCACCCCAGTATTCTTGCCTGGGAAATCCCATGGACAGAGGAGCTTGGCGGGCTACAGTCCATGGGGTTGCAAAAGAGTCAAACACGACTGACCATGCGTGCACGCATAAACTAAAGACATTTGCTCAAAACCCTGCTTTATATTCAGGTCATTATTTTAATTCCTTGAATGAAGACTTTTTAAAAAGGTCTCCATATACTTTGGAAGAGAAAGAACTGTTGCAAATATGTTATCCAGTAACACAGGAAAATTGGAAAGATAACAGCATTTATGATGGAGTTGTATCTTGTGCACAGATATATACACAAGGAAAAAAAAACCCTCATGGAGTCAGAATTATGCTTGGAAATCAAAGTCACCTTTAAAAGATACAGTACACAACATTTACAGACCATGTTGGAGGCAGACTCAATGTGTCCAACACAGCCAATTTTCCCTTCAGTGTTCAAACAGATGGCTCATTCTTTGGGTGAGCACCAGATGAAGTAGTTGGCTTGCATTTGAGGCCATCTTGTGTAAAAAATACTTATCTTTAAACACTAGAATCACACTCTGCACAGTGAGAAGCTCACACTACAAGACACAAAGAATCTATGACCAACTTAGGGAGTTGTGGATTACTGTCTCCCTTTGAACGCTTAGTCCCGGGAGTACTAAGAGAAATGGTAGGCACAAGCGACTGCATGACTTCAATTCTCAACCTCTCTCTTTCTCTGTGGCCCAGCACATACAGTTGGATGTATAAAACTTGAATATGCCTCTGATGGGACTCCCCTGTGTTCCTGAAGACTCTGATGCTATAATAAAGGGTTCAAAATGGTGCTTCATATCCCACTCTTGGGACCAGTTTCTGGTATTGCTCTGCTCAGACTACAAGTAAGAAATATGCCCAGGTAAACCTAAAGGAAAATGGATTATTTTTAAGCTCTATCAGCATTACTAATGGTACTAGTATGCTGACACATTGTTATCTGTTACATCAGGGCTTTTTAGCTTCAAATAACCCAAGCTGAAAGCTGATTGGGTCATTTCATCACCATCCACCACCTGTGATCCCTGAAGTCATTGTTATTGTTCAGTCACTAAGTCGTGTCTGACTCTTCACGACCCCATGGACTGCAGCAGGCCAGGCTTCCCTTCCTTTACCATCTTCTGGAGTTTCCTCCAACTCATGTCCATTGAGTTGGTGATACTATCTAACCATCTCATCCTCTGTCACCCTCTTCTCTTCTTGCCCTCAATCTTTCCCAGCATCAGGGTCTTTTCCAATGAGTCTGCTCTTCGCATCAGGTGGCCAAAGTTTTGGAGCTTCAGCTTCAGCGTCAGTCCTTCCAATGAACACTCAGGGTTGCACTGGTGGTTCTCAACTTGGGGCTTTGCTGAGCAGTGGAGGATGTGTAGCATCCCTGGCTCCAGCACACCAAGTGCCAGCGTGTGCATGCTCAGTCATGTCTGACTCTGCAAACCCACAGACTGTAGCCCACCAGGCTCCTCTGTCCATGGGATTCTGCAGGCAAGAACACTGGGGTAGGTTGCCATGCTCTCCTCCAGGGGATCTTCCCAACCCAGGGATCAAACTCCTGTCTCCTATGTCTGCTTGCATTGGCAAGCAGATTCTTTACCTCAGCCCCCTAGGAAGCCCCTAAGTGCCAACAGTTCATTCCATTACTATGACCATAGCAAAGTGTGGGCGTTAATCACAAAGATGCCCCCAAGCGTTCTGAAAACCCTGTACCACTCTGCTCTTCCCCTTCAAGAACCACTATCATGGATGTTCCAGCAGCCCTGGACCAAGCTGGAAAATAGCCAGTTTTTCGGAAGAGGTTTTTAGAAGACTAGATGTATTCAAGGTAAGATATAGATGAGAAATTTTTCTATAACTCATAATTTTTTTCATTTATTTTTATTAGTTGGAGGCTAATTACTTTACAGTATTGTAGTGGTTTTTGTCATACATTGACATGAATCAGCCATGGATTTACATGTATTCCCCATCCCGATCCCCCCTCCTACCTCCCTCTCCACCCGGTTTCTCTGGGTCTTCCCAGTGCACCAGGCCCGAGCACTTGTCTCATGCATCCAGCCTGGGCTGGTGATCTGTGGGAGAAGGCGAGGGTGGGATGTTTCGAGAGAACAGCATCGAAACATGTATATTATCTAGGGTGAAACATATAACTCATAATTTGACTTACTTCTTCACTATTGAGCTGGCTTAATTTTGGAGTAATACATCCCTGTGATACTAAATAGGCATAACGAGTATTTTTTATTCCTGTAGATAATTGCGTTCATTTAAGTTAAAGAAGGGTTCTGAGTCAGAACTCAAAATTCAGGAATTATACCTTTCTCTCTTCCTCTGCCCCCCATATCACCCCCAATCACCACACAAGACTTGGACTTCTTTTTAACTTGAAAGAATAAAAATACAATGGAAAATCAGGGTACCTCTATTTATAAACTTCATGTATCATACAAGATTTCTTTAAAAAAAGAAAATCAGATTTACCAAACTGTTAAATCAATTTCTCATAGCTCAGATGGTAAAGAATCTGCCTGCAATACAGGAGACCCAGGTTCAACTCCTGGGTTGGGAAGATCCCTTAGAAAAGGAAATGGCAACCCACTCCAGTATTCTTGCCTGGAGAATCGCATGGACAGAGGAGCCTGGCAGGCTATATTCCATGGGGTCGCAAGAGTCAGACACGACTTAGCAACTAAACCATCACCACTGATTTTATAGAGCACATTTATATATTAGTTTTAGATGTGCTTTTGGAAAATTGTTATGCAGGCACATCTCACAAATATATTACACTGCAGAGCCCCAGTACAATTATAAGAACTACAAACCAGAAAATCTTAACTGAATAAGACTGCATGGAGGCAACTATTAAAACATAGGTGAATATGAAATCTAAAAAGTAGGTGGAGAATCAATCTGCTTTCATCCTTTCTCTTGAATAGTTCATATGCCAAAAAAGAGGGAGGTAAAAATTTGTAAGAAAACTTTCAAATCTTCAGTTGAAACTAAAACCACTCCTTAGCACACAGGCACAGAATCTTTGTTTTATACAAAACTGTATTGAAAATAATCCAGAATATCCATTACATTTGTGTACTTGATAGTTACAATGTACATTACAGACCCCTGAATCTACAATATGCACATAAACTGGCAATATTTACTTTAATAATGAGATTGCTTCTGTAGAGCAAATGATACAATAAATGTTCAACTATTTCGAATAGGGGCTATTTCTATTTTATAGTCTTCATATGTCTTCATTGTTTTGAAAATGTAGACAACTGAAATTAAACAGTCAATACCATTCCTCTGCAGTAAGTACTAATAGATGTTACACATGAACCCACTTATAAAAACACACTATGCTTTCCTTAGAAACAGGTAAAGAAAAATAACAGCCATAACTTGCTAAAAAGTCATGTAAAATAGCTGCCTTTCTATTGATGACATTTTTGCTTCTAGGGTTGTGAATCAATATTTTTTAATTTGCAGAATTTATAAATGTACAGAAAATGTGTGACACCCATTAACCAACACTCACAAACCAACATAATAGAAGTTTATGTAATAATAGAAGCTGTGATTTATAACATGTACCAAATAACAATTCAAGCTTATTACAACTATCAAAAGCTTTTTCATCCTAAAACATTTATGCTTTTGAATAGTTGCTAGCTCTAAAATGTTTATGTCCATTTTAAGTATTCAACTGATTAATTATATACCTTCTCCCCAGCAGAACCTTGAGAAAATTTTGAGTTATATTCTTACCCTATTAATATCTTTTTACTTGGATCATGCCCTAGATTCTGGCTATCTGGAGAATACAAACATTTGAGGGTATATGTGTTGTTGAAACACTTTAAAATAGGTAATATTATTGGGGGCTGAAATGAAAAAGAATTTTAAGGTTAAAAAACTTCAAGTCTATAAAGAATATACACCGTCAAACAGGTGGCACCATGCGGGATGCAGTTTAGAGTACCCTGACATTTGTAACAGGAAACATGTTAGAAATAAGCCCAAGGGCAAAATGAGTTCACTAAAAACCATACAAAACTGAGTAACTAATAAAACTGCAAAGATACTCAACTAACAATTAATGCTTTATACTGGGTTGGCCAAAAAGTTCGTTCAGGCTCTCCCATTACATCTTCTGGAGAAACCCAAACAAAGTTTTTGGTCAAGCCTATATATAAGCTTTTGCTCAGAACTTCAATTTAAGCAGTTTCTGAACCAGTTGGTTGGAGGAAAGGGGCTTTCCTGAACTGAGAAATAAGTAACAGCTCTCACAAGACCTTTAGATCTTTAAAGTACAAGAATTAAGTCATGGTCTTCAATCTTGGCTGTATATTACTAGCATTAGCCCAAAGTTGTTAAAAAAAAAAATAACACCCATGCCCTTACCCCATCCCCAGAGACTGGTTCAAGTGTCTCAGGTGGGGACAGACAGGGTTGAGACCCACTAAACTAGATGCAAGGATCAAATGAAAGGATCAGAGACAGCAGATGGTAATCTGGGAATCTGATGATCTTCCATGGAAATAAACTCATCCATGCTAACATAAGAAATATGAGTGACTAGAAGATTGAGACTGAGCAGTCTCATTCTGGTTAATTTTTTACTATTATATTTATTGGCATGTGTGCGTGTACGTGCGTTCAATTGTGTCTGACTCTTTGCGACCCCATGGACTGTAGCCTGCCAGGCTCCTCTGTCCATGGGATATAACTGGTGTATAACTGCCTTCATTCTGATTAATTTTAAATAGCCTTAAAACTAATTCAACTTGCCACCTTAGTCCACGAGGAATTTAAGAATAGGAATATAAGAAATTTCCTAACTGGCCAACCTAGCAAGTCTCTGTTCAGCCTTAGAGACTCAGAAGAGTTCATCTGTCAGAGGCCAGTCCTTCCACTCCACTCTGGATTACTACTCACTTCTCATTCTACATTAAATGTCTCTTTTCTATATCTTCTCTCTCAAAACCATCCCACTAACATTTAAACATGTCCGTTTCTCCTATCCTAAAATACACATCCCTAGATCCTTCATCAACATCTTCACCCACAACCCTATTCTTCCAGCATCTCCTTGCTCAGTGTCCGACAAGCCCATCCGTGCAGCTACTAGGAGTGCTGGAAGTCTTCCCTCAAAAGCAATCACCAAGTCTTTCTGTGATAATGCATTAAAAAATGTCTCCATGTCACCTCTCTCCATGCCCACTGCTACTTACCCCGAGTCCAAGCCACCATCTTCCCTCACTGCAACTATAATAACACCCTTATAATCTGGTCTCCTTGGAGCCATTCTTCTCCACTCAGGACCATTCTCCACATTGTGGCCTAGGTAACCTCACCTTAGGCAAATTATCAAGCTTGTGCTTCAGTTCTTTTCACATGTAAAAGTCCACTTTTAACAGACCTTATACAATTGTTAAGATTGAATGAATACCAAACAAAAGCAATTATTAATAGCAACTATGAAGCATAATAAATGGTAGCTATTTTAAATTTGTGTGTGTGTTTAGTCAGTCATGTCTGACTCTTTGCAATCCCATGGACCGTAGCCTGCCAGGCTCCTCTGTCCATGGGATTTCCCAGGCAAAAAGACTGGAGTAGGCTGCCATTTCCTGCTCCAGGGGATCTTCCCAACCCAAGTATAGAGCCCGAGACTCTTGTGTCTCCCGCATTGGCAGGTGGATTCTTTACCACTGTACCATATGGCAAGTCATTTTTAGTTTATTAAGGTACAAATACTTAAAAGCAGCTAAACTACTTGCATTACGAGAGGAAAGGATACTCGGGAACTAAATCAAAGGGCCTGCAGTCTTGTTTTATCTAGCCTCCACCAGTAATATCAGTCTCAACATCTCCACTGAGTTTCAGCAACCAGAAACACTATACATAAAAGAGTAAGGAAAGTATCTTTTTATCCCCCCTAATATTAAGGTCATATTTCTAACATAACTTACAGAGGTGACAACCCATCTGTTTTGCTCTGACAACACTAGGGAATGGTATGTGTGCTTAGTTGCTCAGTAGTGTCCAACTCTTTGTGACTCCATGGACTGTAGCCTGCCAGACTCCTCCGTCCATAGGGATTCTCCAGGCAATACTGGAGTGGGTTGCCATGCCCTCCTCCAGGGGATCTTGGCCAACCCAGGGAGTGAACCCAGGTCTTCTGCATTTCAGGCGGACTCTTAACCGACGGAGGGAACAGTATACTGAAGGAAAAAAGCTGGTCTGTCTCTTCCTGTATCACAACTTGAACAGGATCTTAATTTTGTGAATTAAGGTGAAAACCCTCACTTTGAGTACACTTGCTACTATCCAATCACAGGGTGAGAAAAAATTCCTGTAGATTGTCATCTCTGAGTTTCACTATACACTGTGTCTACAGGAAGTTAAATAAAAGACTAGTAGCCCTTAATATCAAGTACCACATGTATCTACATCCAGAAGTGTCTTTCTGTTGTTTACGTCCTTACACTACTTTTCTACTATATTTGACTCTCGAGGGACTCTATATAAACACCTGGATTTCTTCTAAGTACATGGGTGCATGCTAAATCATTTCAGTCGGGTTGGACTCTTTGCAACCCCATGGACTGTAACCCACCAGGTTCCTCTGTCTGTGGGATTCTCCAGGCAAGAGTATTGGAGTGGGTTAGCATGCCGTCCCCATGCAGAGGATCTTCCTGACCCAGAGATCAAACCAAGTCTCTGCCATCTCCTGTATTGGCAGGTAGGTTCTCCCTGAGTGTGCGTGTGTGTGTGTGTGTGTGTGTGTGTGTGCCATGTGTGCACTTAGTTGCCCAGGTGGGTTCTTCCTGTGTGTGCACGCTTAGTTGCTGTGTGTGTGTGGGGGGGGGTTCTTCCTGTGTGTGTGCACGCTTAGTTGCTGTGTGTGTGTGCGTGCGTGCGCACGCGCGCGTAGTTGCCCAGTCATGTCTGACTCTTTGCAACCCCATGGACTGTAGCCCTCCAGGTTCCTCTGCCATTGGGGATTTCCCAGGCAAGAATATTGATTAGAGTGGGTTGCCATGCCCTCCTCCAAGGGATCTTCCCAACCCACGGATCAAACCCAGGTCTCCCGCATTGCAGGCAGATTATTTACCATCTGGGCCACCAAGGAAGACCCCTCCTAAGTACATCTTGCTTTAATTCCATGTGTCACCAGAATCTAATTTGAAAAACAAACCAACCAATCTATGACTAGAGGAACTTGATACATTAAAAAATAGGAAACTTTGTTTTACAAAGCTTTGTTTTTACACACAAATTTACTTAAAGCAGTACACTTTTCCTGAGTCTCTGTACTGCTGCTGCTTCTGTACTGAGAGGTAGTAATTCTTCTTCCCATCAAATGTATCTCCTTAAAATGAATCCTGCCTTCTAGATCAACTCTTTCAGTCTGCCTTAAGAGTTTCACTCTATTTTTTCATTCATTGGTGATGTCAGGATGACTGAGTTTCCATGTATCTCCTCCTTTTCCATCTTTCATTTCTTACTATCATTATAAATTCATTATATGCCACTTTCTTACCTACCAGTCTTCTATCGTCTTTATCTTAAGCTAAAATTTGCTTTTTCACCAATCACAAGGTTCCTTTTTCCACTGAAAGTATACCTGGAATATTCATTTGCAGACTACACATTGAGAACTATTTTTAAAATGTGCCCTAATAAACTATCACCCCACCTGGAATATTTAAACATGAGAAGACGGGTACTTACACCACTTACATTTTCACACTGAAGTCCTTGTCAGAAGAGAATCAGTTAGGAGAGAACCTCAGGAAACAGGCTGGCGCAGAAGCCAACAGTAATGAGGCGGCACAGAGCCAAGCCTCAATGTGGGCTTGCTTTAAGGCGGCAGGGCAAGAGGAAGCGTGAGCTCTGAAAGTGGTCTGTGCTGAGAGACACTCAGGCCTCTGGACTCAAACAGTGGGAGAAGGGAGGCCTCAGCAGGGGCTCCACGACACAGACTGCCCCCGGGAGGCGGAGTCGGGAGCCAGGCCACCCGGTCTAGTCCCGGCCTCACTGCTTACCAGTTCTGTGACCCAGCCGAATGAGTTATTAGTTACAACTAAACCAATACTTAGTTTCTGTCTCATCTTCACCCATCTAGAAAATGGAGACATAACTATCTACCTCATAAATGTTAAGGATTAAATGAGCAAATATTCGCAGAGCACTGAGTGCAGTGTCTGGCACAGGACTAGTTTCTGTGAAACTCACTGCATGCCCACCGTGAGCTCAGTTCTAAGAGGGATAAAAATCCTCAGACTGTACATTAGATAGGGACAGCAAAGGAGAGGGGAGTCTCGGGTGATGATAAAGGGAGACTTAGAAGGTATCCACACAAAGGGACATGGAGACAGAGGTGAGTTCTTCAAGGGACAACCTTTAGACAAAAACCAAATAGCTGAGGATTTAACCTCCAAAAAAAAAAAAAAAAAGTCACATATAAGTGTGATTAGAAAGGTAAAGTGATGAGAGAGGAAAATCAAGGAAGGAATATATGGATACTTATAGCTGATTCACTTTGTTGAAACACAACATTGAAAAGCAATTATCCTCCAATTAAAATTTTTAAACAGCTAGAAACTTTTAAAAAATTTAAAAAATGTATGGTGTCTCACTTGAGAATCAAGGATAAGAAAAGAATCATGTTAACCTGATGGCTCAGCAGTAAAGAATCTGCCTGCAATGCAGGAGACACAGGTTCAATCCCTGGGTCGGGAAGATCCACTGGGGAAGGAAATAGCTAGTCACTCCAATTTCTTGTCTGGGAAATCCCATGGACAGAGGAACCTGGTGGGCTATAGTTCATGGGGTTGCGAAGAGTTAGACTTAACTTACCGACTAAACAACAATTTCATTGTATACTTGTATCAATATTATATTTAACATTTTCCTAGAATAATTCTGTAAGAACACAAAAATCAAGATACGTTAACTTTAACTTCATTAAACAAAGCATTATACTCCTCTCCCGATTAAAAAATAAAAACCAAATAACAAAATAAAATGAAGGAATGTGCCTAGCATTAATCTGTCAGAAGCAAACAGCCAGAAAAGAAAAAAAAAAATACAGCCTGACGTTTTTCCTGTTTGCCCAATGAGTTAAACAGTACCTTCCATTTAGTTTTACTGATTTGAAAAGTTCTTTGTTCATTCTCTTAAATAAATATTTGAGCACTAAATACTAGCCAGGTACCTCTACAGACTTTCTTGGTTCTCAAAGGGGAGAGACACTGGTACATACCATTTTAACCTAATGTGACACATGCTACAATGCATATATGACAGAAGCACTGATCCAAATGCAGAAAAAGGCAGGTGTGCTGCTGAGGAGATGAATGGAAGATGCCCAGGAATTAGTCAGGTAACACACGTGCAGAGTGCTAGGAGAAGGTGCCAGGCGTTGTGAATGCAAACAGGTTTTGGAGTAATCAGTAATGCTTATACCACACAAATGCAACATCCATTCAATTTTAATTATGTCACCTTTTATTATTTTACAGCATATTTCCAAAAAATGCCATTACAGTTGCCTTAACTGCTCTATAAGACCTGGAATCAAAGAACACTGAGAATTAGAACACACACATCAAGCTGTAATACCTACTTGTGCTGAACCATTACTACCAAAGGGATGTTGTTTCTTAAAGAAGCAGATGTGTGGCAATGCAAAATAAAATACAAACTGGTTAGAACAGTAAACTTTGTTTCAATGGCTATAGAAAGGAGGTGGTTTTGTTGTGTGTTTTTTTAAAACATCTGGTCTGGCAGCAAGATGTAATATGCATTTAGAGCAATACATGCCCTGAAAGCTTATATTTTCAGTTGTGTGCATCACCTGAACTCAGAGCCCAGATGAAAAAAGTAATCACTCTCCATACTCTCAACACCCCTCCCTCCATAAGGTCACAATATTCCTAAACTCGAGATTCTTGTTGGTGAACTATTTTACAATTTTTTCTCCAATGACACTGGATGCTTTTAGTTTTTTCTCTGAAAGAGAAGCAATGAAAAT